GAGAAATAGGCCTTTTGTGTATATAGAGAAAGTCTTAGATCTTCGAGTTCAGCTCATGATGAATGGCGGCAATAAAAAAAGTGTTGCATTAATAATTTTGTTCAATGTAAAATATTTGTTTGAACCAGGCTTAATATGTTTTTTTCTGCTGTAAAGTTGGACATTTTAATGTGGGGTAAATGGAGATTGACTCCCTTCTGCATCTAGCTTTCAATTGGCCAGTCGATGAATTGCAGTTTTTGTTGCATCCGGGTGGCTTCAGTTCATAGGTCAAAGGGTACAGATGACCCGGGCCCAAGGCCCAGGGCGGGCCCCTGCCTTTGCAGAGCCCGCCCTATGGTTGACCCTTAAATGGATTCAAGTACAACAACTTTACTTACAGACTTATAACACTGTATAAACAATGTATATGTATTTACATGAAAAATAAATGTATTTTTATCATTAAAACATATTACAGCTTGTCATCTGATAACCTACCCCCCGCGGTGATTGTGAAAATAGTACAGTCAAAAAACCTGGCCATTTAGATGTGCAGAGCCTGCTAATATACAATTGGCTTTAAGAGAAGACTGCAGCCTGACTAGCACATCAAAAATGTCTCAAAAGTCAGGGGCTCAAAAAAGAAAAACCAAAAACACAGAGAGAAAATGAAATGAAAAGAGAAGACAGGCCATGGCCAAATTTCTGAACTTCTTAACTCCACCCTGCTGATTTGACACTGGCATACGCAGTGACTACTTATCAAGTTAATTCACAAAACAGGTTTGTGGTTGTGAGTGTATATACATATTGTGTGTGTGTGTATATATGTATATATATGTATTATTTTTTTTCACCTACTTACACCTAATAGATTTTGATCAGTTTTTGTCCTTGTTTTTAATTGTCTATTACCATAATGCTGTAAACTGTTGTGAAGAATGTCACGGGTTACGTATGTAACCCTTGTTCCCCGAGAAGGGGAACGAGACACTATGGGAACGCCTCTGGGCATGGCAGGGCTGAAATGATGAATGAAACTACTACAATCCTATTGGCGTTGCTAGAATGGTAGCGCGTGACAGTGTAACTGGAGGCGTATATAAGCACGCCGGCACACCGGACACATTAGCTCTTTGCTATGAAGCAAGGCACTCCAGGTGTGGCGAGGTGTGGCGGACCGACGCAGTGTCTGGTTCCCCTTCTCGGGGAACAAGGGTTACATACGTAACCCGAGACGTTCCATTCGAGAACTTGAACTGCGTCGGTGACGACACAATGGGAACGAGAATACCCACTATTCCACGCCAAAGCCTCCGCCAGCCCCCCAGCGTCCAGTAACCCGTAGGCACGACTAAGAGGAGAGCGCACGGGTGCCGGGTGCAGAAGGAAGGTCCAGACTGTAAAACCGGATGAAGGTGTGAGGAGTGGCCCAGCCAGCTGCCTCACACAAATCCTGGAGCGAAGCCCCTACGAGGAGGGCCCTAGAGGCCGCCACGCCTCGCGTAGAGTGCGCCCTTACGGCCATAGGTGAAGGTAACCCACGCACCTGATGGGCCAGGGATCCAGTTGCTGATTGTGTGTTTAGAAGCGGGGATCCGAAACACACCAGCAACTGGTCTGGTCTGACCAGGCAGAGCAGATGAAGTCTCCCGTCCTCCGCCATCACATGAGGTGGGGGGAAGAAACGCCTGCAGCACCGTAGACCCTGCCAACCTGGACGGAACCTTAGGGACATAGCCCAGACAGGGGTGCAGGATGGCTCTGACCCTCCCCGGGGCAAACTCCAGGCATTGAGGAGAAACCGAAAGTGCCTGGAGATCCCCCACCCTCCTCAGAGAGGAGAGAAAGGCCATCTTAAGGGTCAGGTGCTTGGCCTCAGCCGACTCCAGGGGTTCGAAGGGGGCCTTCGCCAGCGCTTCGAGAACCACCGCCAGGTCCCAAGTGGGAACCCTGGAACGAGTCACGGGTCTCATCCTCCGGAAGACCTGGCCCTCCGCCTGAGACAGCATGTCCCTCCTCAGGGGGAGGAGCGATATTATGTCTGAGAACCACACCCGGGCCAGCCAAAACGGGGCTACCAGCAGTAGGCTGACACTGTCCTGACGGACCCGCTCCAGGGAAAGGCATATAGGCGCAGCCTCGGCCACGTCTGCATCATGGCATCCAGCCCTAGCGAGGCTGGGGGCGAGAGGGAGAACCACAGGGGACAGTGCGCAAACAAGTCCACGTCTATGGGACTTTCGCATAATAACTCCACCACCTCGGGGTGGAGTCTCCATTCCCCAGGCCTCAGCCCCTGTCTCGACAGCAGGTCTGCTCCCTGATTCTGGGTCCCAGGGACGTATGTCGTTCTGAGGGACAGCAGGAGGATCTGATGTGCCAGTTTGCATAACGGGCACGAGCGCAGACCCTCCTGATGATTCAAATAGGCCACCACCGCCGTGTTGTCGGTCCTGACAAGAACGTGTTGACCGCGGAGAGCGGGCAGAAAACTCCTCAGAGCTCTGAAAACCACCAACATTTGCAGGCAATTTATGTGCCAAGAGAAATGATGCTTCTGCCAGGAGCCTCTCGCAAAGCGGCCGTCCATGACTGCGCCCCACGCCACGAGTGAGTCGTCTGTCGAAATAATTGTCCGCCGACATGACAACACGGGACCCTGGGACAGGAACCAAGGCTTCCTCCATACTGACAGGGAACGAAGGCACCTGCTCGTAACCCGTATCAGACGGAACGGATTTCCCCTCGGGGAGAATCCCTTGGATTTTAACCACCACTGCAGGGCTCTCATGTGCAGCAGGCCAGACGGGATTACGCTGCCACCCCAGCGAGACTGAAGGGTCCTCAGATCCGTTGTCTCGGGGGGCTGTGGGCGAGAGCGCCGCCTCGAATCCCCGGTGCGCTGAGGGGGACCTCGTGAAATGACACTCTGCCTCTGGCTCTGGCGGTAGGAGCTGGACGACGGCTGGGACCGTCTCTCTGCAGCCGCCGCCATCCTGGACCCAAACCAGCGCGGGAGATACTGCTGGAACGCCTCCCCTTGCGTCCTGGCATGCTGAAACCTGCTGACAACGGCGTCCACCGCCTCGCCAAACAGGCCAGAGGTCGCGACCGGTGCGTCGAGCAGGAAGGTCTTCTCCCTTTCCTGGATGCCCGATAGGTTGAGCCACAGGTGCCGCTCCGTGGCCACCAGCGCCGACATGGAGCGGCCAATGGCGCGGGCCGTCTCTTTTATGACTCGGAGAGACAAATCCGTAGCTCTGCGGAGCTCGGCAATGTCCTCCTCAGAGGGGCCTCCTCCCGAGTCCATGTCTTTCAGCAGGTCGGCCTGGTATGCCATCGTGTGCAGGCTCGCACCGCCCGGGCCCACTGCCATGTACGCCTTGCCCACCAGAGCAGATGTCACGCGACATGGCTTGGTAGGCAGCGCCGGCTCTTTAAGGGACGACGTAAGACCGGGCGAGAGATAGCTGGCCAAAGCATCCTGAACCCGGGGCATCGTCCCATAACCAGAACCCCTAACCCCCGCGACGTCGCTGTAAACCCGGAGCGGGGGAGTCGTCAGACATGCTGAGAAGGGCATGCAAATCCCGGAAAAAGGGCAGAGGCCAGCACTGGCAAGCTGGAGCTTGCCCACTGCTCGTGTGAGCACACCCAGCTCCTCAGAGCCGGACAGCTGCAGCCTCTCCAGGCTCACACCTCGAGCAGGAGAAGCCGAAAAGCGGGCTCCCGAACGGGGAAGAGGGGAGTCGGAGCCAGCAGACGAGGAACAGGAAAAAGCCTCGGCAGTCCCGATGCCTTCGGAGATGTCGCGCTGGGAGCCCCATGACTGAAGCCGCCGCGCTGCCTCAGCGACTGCCGGGCCCGAGCCACGGGGAGAACGCATTTGGCCGTCTCCGGAGAAGAAAGCCGCATGGGACCTCAGCACCCTCAGGTGCAGGGCCTCGCAATGGCCGCAAGCAGCCCCCTTGAGAGCTGCCTGGGCACGCGGCATCCCCAGACAGGAAACATGAGTGTCCCCAGCCATGATGTAGCGTGGGCATGCAAAGACACACTACCTGAACTGCTCACAAGCCATCTCCTCTGCTTCTCCTTCCAGGTAACTTCTTGTGGTAGCTTTCTTCTGTGTAGTCTCAAACATGCCAGAGTGCCTGCTGAATAGAAAAATGCTAATGTGTCCGGTGTGCTTTTATACGCCTCCAGTTAAGCCGTCACGCGCTACCGTTCTAGCAACGGCAATAGGATTGGAGTAGTTTCATTCATGATTTCAGCCCTGCCACGCCCAGAGGCGTTCCCATAGTGTCGTCTCCGACGAGTTCCCTCGAAGGGGAACTACGTGTAACACTGAGAGCAACTTAAAACCAGAGTCAAACTCATTGTGTGTTCACATACTGGGCCAAGTGAATTTCCAGTGAAAGTGGAATCCAAAAAAACAAATACTAACTTATAGTGATTTACAGAATTGTTGTTAATAATCACATGCTATGTTCATGGGTCATGCAGAAGTGTTGTGTTTGTTGTGTTTTTTTAACTGTTGATTGGGTGGGTGAGTAATTTCGCTGCACATGGGCAGTACGTAAAAAGGGACATGTTACAAGAGATCTGCAAGAGGGATGGATCATAACAAGTTTTTGACCATGTTTTTCAAAACAGGTTAGAGTAATTTTTGGTGGACTGCACTGGGCTGGTAATGGACCAGGCCTTTTGTAAACTCTGGATTAAAAGGTTCACTCAAACCTTTTCTTCTGGATTTTTTATGTACATTGGGTACTCCTGGATTGTGCATATGTGGTCATGCGCCGGCTTGATATACTAATTACAAAATAGTGGCCTTTGTAAAACAGCAACGATACTAATATTCTTCTGCTCAACTCCTATTCACACAAAGTTTATATACCATCATCACACAATATCACAAAATATTTTTTAGTAAGATAAGTGCATTGTGGGTTTGGCTCTGCACATGGGAATATAGAGTATATACATTCAGTATTCTGACAACAATGAACAACATATGAACACTGAAGCATTTCTTTTATTGTAACTGCAAGGATTGCAACAATGACAGACAGCTTGTGGGAAGTCATGTGACCTTGTACAGCAGACTATAAACAGCATCTGAGGTCTAAAGTGTGGCTCTGTCAGAAGAAGTGGAGAATGGATGGAGGCACTTCTATATCAGTGAAAGACAGTTTCCCTTTATCATAACATTAACACACCGAGGCTACTCAACACCTCAAGCTACATCAGAAAACAGCTAAATCATTTCCAGCTGTCCGTCTTTGAGATCAGGGCTCTGAGTTCAGATTTAAGGAATGCTCTGTGACAAAATCAGGGAGTGTTTCTTCGAAAATTCAATGAATTTTTTAATTATTTTTTATTCTCTTCAACTGGGTCTTGTTACTGTATGTCAATAAAGGTGATTCAAACTGAGAATGTAGGAGAACTTTTCTTCATAAAAAAAACAAAGTTGATTTCATCAAACTGACCCAAAAATGTTGTTACTTGTGTCTTGGATAATAGCAAGTCTCAACATTTACTCCTCATTTAACTTTTCAATATTGCCATTATATTATTCACTGCTGACACTAACCTACTGTACAACCACCATGTGTAACATCACATGAACATGACCTATAATTAGGAACATTAGATTTTTACAGGTACACGATAAAATGTCATTGGCTGAAGCTTATTTTGGTTCATAATTCCCATTATGTATATGTATGACCTAATTTCCTCCCCACCTAACAAACGTGAAGTGTCTCGCAATCATGACACACATTTTCAAGCATTCTAATTACTACTTCATTAGTACTGTATGTTGTTGAATGAATACAAATAACATGAAATGACATTTTAACCTCACTTATTTTTGTTTGACAAAATAATTTCAATTCAAGGTCCTCTTACAAGGACCTGTCCTTGGCTGCAGCCCCCCACGACCCTGTACGCAGGATAAGTGTTTGACGATGGATGGATGGTCCACTTACAAGCTAGTCTTCACCTGTTGTCCTGAAAAGGTTTCTGAGGGTTCAGAGCTTTTTTCATGAATTTTCGACAGTGAAATGTAGCTAAAAGCTCTGTGTAAGTGGTCAGGAATGAACGTCGGTGCTCAGACCATTCAGTTATATTTTTCTACTGCTAAATGAATACAGACCCATTACTGCTGTTGTGGGAGGACAGATTCAGATCAGAGCTGGTTTTGTCTTCTCAACTGTGAAATGGCTTTTGCAGTGATGCTTGTTTTACAGGTTAATAGACAGTTCCAATTCTCTAGAATGTTGTTTTCATTAAATCACTGTCACAAACGTCACGTTCCCATATCTGAAGTCAAAGCAAGCCCCAGCTAAAACAGCACTAACTGAAGGAATGTCACTTTATGACGAGTAGCCAAACAGAAGTATATACAAAGGTTCGGTCATGCAGGTCAGGTGAGGTCGTCTCCTCACTGATGATGTAAGACCAGATGTGATACTGAAGAGCAGATGAGACTTTAGTGCTAACAGCACAGAGGTGAAGCTGTGCTGGTGGAAATCCAGGTCCCGGTGCCCTGTCCTTCTCATGTCGTTTTACATTTGAAACCATTGCGTTGTTGAAAACATTGAAATAAAAATAAAGTACTCCTTTCATCCAAAAAAAAAGAGGTTTCACTTTCAGATACATGGCAGTAAAGTTTCTGCTCAGTTTTCCCTCTATTTAAACCTGCAGTGGTACTTTTGTGTCCCTCTTCTGACAGTGAGAACAATTACACCACACCGTGGACCTGATGTACAGGCTCTGCCTTCCAGTGCGGGAATGTCGCCCACTGTTTTTATGTTTATGCAAATGATAACTTCCGCCTGTATTTCTGCATGTTTTCAGCACACAGCACAGCACCTTTCCATGCTGATGGAATATTCTGAGCCTTAGTAAAGCAAAGACTATGTGTAGAACAGAAACAAAGCAATTTTCATTGGGTCCTGTCACTTTGTTGTTTATCTTTTTATTTCCATTTGGGATGAGAATGTTTGTGTTTTGGTACTACAGTTCCCATCATGCATTGAGTGATTTAAACAGGAACTATAATGTTGTGCCAAGTCGTAAGAAGGCGTAACCATGGACGTACAGACAACTGTCAGATGGATGATGAGGAGCCTGTCCTTTTTATGTCTACAAGGTTTCTGGATGTTTATCTGTAATGATGCAGATATCACTGTATGTGTGTGAGTTATGACTCGTTTCACACTAACTGCATTTATGTTCCAAGGTGTAATAACCAAGTGTCATCTTCAATGCTCCTCTTAAATGTAAAAATGTGTCTGTGGTACAAAGCACAGCTATTCTTCCACCAGCCTGGTGCTTTCTTCACTTCTGTTACTGCAACACACACACACACACACACACACACACACACACACACACAGAGTGTGTTGGGGGAACACAGACAGCCAATACTATCTGGAGGATGGAGGGATGTAGTCTATGGCATCACCGTCACACCAGTCCCATTCCTGCTCACACTCTGTCCAGCAGGATGGAGTCAGCCTCTGGTCCAGCCGGACTCAGTTCACACAGATAGAACAGCGTCTCCTCGCTGGCCTCCGCCTCCGTCAGAGGCTCCAGGCGGATCAGGGAGCTGCAGGCTGGCTTCGTCTCAAGGCTGGTGTCCAGCAACTCTGAGGGTGGCTCAGCCTCCACAGAGACACAGGGGCTGGACGAGGGCTGGAGGTGGGTGTTAGAGGAGCCGGTGCCCAGATCCACCTCTGAAGGAGGAGAGCAGCCATCGAGGAAGGCCAGCAGGGGGCAGGAGGTGTACTGGATCAGCTGCTTATCTGAACACAAGACACAGGAGGAGTCAGCATGGACTGTGTCCAACCAACACAGAAAATAACCACAATATAATAATCACCTAAACATTAGTGCACTCTCTGACTGTTGGATGGAGAACAGCAATAAGAATGTGCTAGACAGCGTTCTCCACCAAGATCAAACGTGGGAACATGTTTGGGAATAATGCTGTTCATCAGCTCACTCGGAGAACCCATGAAGCTGTTGTTGAGGCTCGCTGTGGGACTAGAATGAACACAATGAAGGAACAGTAACTGCTGTTCAGGCAGGAGCTTCAGTCTTGGTGCACTTGTACAAACTTGTAATCACAACAATGAGTGCAAATGTAAATAATATCTACAGGAATTGCAATAGCTAGCAAAAAAAAGCTCCTCACACTTATGTCAGATTCCACTGTGCTGACCGACTGGACAAGGGCACTTTACTTTATTTTTATCCTCCCATTTCAGGGAACTTTGTCTGAAGTAAAAAAAACTACTAGTAACATGAATCATTTCAGGTAATCGGCGAAGGAAAAGTGATAATTACAGTAGTGAGTAGTTGTGTTTCCAAAACACTGTTGTTGCTCATCAGTGGTCAAAGCAACCAGGTATCCAGGTAACTTCAGGAGTAGCTTTGTGACGTCGGGTGTAACTTCACGATTAACCCGTACTACCAAAGGTGGACAGGTGTTAACCGAGGTCTGTTGCTATTAGGGCTGGGTATCGAGTTCAGTACTTTTTTAGGCACCAACCGAATTGCCTCAATACCATCGAGTATCAAAAAATGTCTTGTCTTTCGGTACCAAATTTCGATACCTTAATGTTCTTGTTAACGCCAATCAGCCAATAAGCATGCAGCATGCTTGATGTGCCCAAATCTAAAAGTGATTGTAATTGGCTGTGGTGATGTAAACACTAGTTCATGCCGGTTACGCACTGACACGTGAATAAAATAAATATATAATTAATAAACAATGAAATTACATTATAAAAACTAAAGAAAGAGGAATAAAAACAACACAAACACAATATAGGCCTATGTTAAATTGAAAATATGTCTTGCTTTTTGACAAGCAGTAGAATTTTTCAAAGGAACAATTATTATAATAAATGATAATAATGTGATAATTAAATTACTTTATACAAACAACAATGGTTCTCCGTTTGTTGAGAATAAAATTGGTATCGAAAAAAGTATCGTTCGGTGTCGAGGTATTGTATCGATATCAAAAATCAATACCCAGCCCTAGTTGCTACGGCAATTTATGCTGTATCTCTAAAAACTGCTCAGAGCAGGTTATGTTCATGGTTAACTCGAAGTTACCCTGTGGACTACACACCACATCTGTACTCAGTGATAATGATGAGAAGTAGGATATTAATATACACCACTTCATAAAATCTGTTAGATTTCATCCTGTTTTCCTGATCCTGTTCCACTTTCTGATTTGTTCCACTGCGGTTGCAATGAAGTTCTGAACACAACAGCATTACGTTCAGACAGCGAGCCCTGCAGCCTCAGTGATTTTAGAGAGGAGATCTTAATTAACAGGCCAGTTTCATAAACCTGTTTTCATTTATATTGACTTATGTGTCTTCTTTATCCATGAGTTTACCATAGCTGCTCTGTCCGATGAAAACTCAGAGATTCAGTTTACAACAGTAACAGGAAAAGCAGCAAAGAGGAAGGTTGACATATTATTTCAACTTATCAAAATGGCATTCATGTAGATAAATGGTTCTGTATGGTCCAGGTAATTGGGTGTGCTCAACTCGCCTGTGTTGTCTTCCTCGATCCTGCCTTGGTTTAGCTGTGCTGTGTTCTCTTTGGAGCACACGCTCTCCTGAAAACACATGGAGACAAAATGATGAATACTGGCTCCACACCCAACAAAACAGAAGATTTTTCAAAAATAGATGTGGATTAAAGGACAGATCTTCATCTGATCCCTTACTGACGTGATTCCAGTGAGTCCTCATTCTGTGTGCAAGTGTAATAATATGTAGGCTGTCTATGTTACACAAATCAGTAGGAATGTAAGAGACTGTTTACTACAAAAAAAACTTTACTTGTATGACCTAAAGTATATACACATACAGTATGTCACAAAAGTGACACTTTGCTACAATGTAAAGTAGTAAGTGTATTGAGCTTGTATAGCAGTGTAATGTTGCAGTCCCCTCTAAATAATACATCACACCGCTGGCAACAAGTGAGGACACCCCTAAGTGAAAATGTCCAAATTGGGCCCAATTAGCCTTTTTCCCTCCCCTGTGTCATGTGACTCATTAGTGTTACAAGGTCTCAGGTGTGAGTGTTAAATTTGGTTATCGCTCTCACACTCCCTCATACTGGTCACTGGAAGTTCAACATGGCACCTCATGGCAAAAAACTCTGAGGATCTGAAAAAAAGAATGGTTGATCTACATAAAGATGGCCGAGGCTGTAAGAAGACTGCAGCTGCAGCACGGTGGTCAAGACCATACAGTGGTTCATCAGGACAGGTTCCACTCAGAACAGGCCTCGCCATGGTCGACCAAAGAAGTTGAGTTCACGTGCTCAGCGTCATATCCAGAGGTTGTCTTTGGGAAATAGACGTATGAGTGCTGCCAGCATTGCTGCAGAGGTTGAAGGGGTGGGGGGTCAGCCTTTCAGTGCTCAGACCATACACCGCACACTGCATCAAACTGGTCTACACGTCTGTCGTCCAAGAACGAAGCCGCTTCTAAAGATGATGCACAAGAAAGTCCACAGTTTGCTGAAGACAAGCAGACTAAGGACATGGATTACTGGAACCATACCCTGTGGTCTGATGAGACCAAGATAAACTTATTAGGTGATGGTGTCAAGCGTGTGTGGCGGCAACCAGGTGAGGAGTACAAAGACAAGTGTGTCTTGCCTACAGTCAAGCATGGTGGGAGTGTCCTGGTCTGGGGCTGCGAGCAAATTTACACTGTTATACAAGCTGTACACTCACTACTTTACTTTGTAGCAAAGTGTCATTTCTTCAGTGTCGTCACATGAAAAGATATAATTAAATATTTACAAAAATGTGAGGGGTGTACTCACTTGTGAGATACTGTACATATTATGCTCTTCTAGACAGTTTTTAATCCTCTCTAATGTTTAATCATTACTTTCTACTTTCCAACTGCTGTATTTTCCTCTTATAGATGAAGGTCACGCTCATCATCGGGCTACCTTTGCCTTACGTGGAGTAGACACGCTTATCCACAGTGCTGAGCAAAATCGATTTGTTATGTTTTGAGTTTGAAGGGGTATTGATAAGGTGACTGTTTTTTGGTTTAGTGTCTAAGTGATATAATTTTACCTCATCAAAATCGATGCCAAACTGTTTTCCATAAAGCATGGCCTGAAAGTCCTCCAGACTGCAGTCAATGCTGTCCAGATAGTCCATCAACTCCACCCTGACACAGACACACACACAAACACACACAAGACCATGCTCCATCAGTAATCAACAACTCTTCACTTCCAATGTTTTAAGTATGACCAAATGGACTGACACCAAAGGGCAGTCTGTCAGTGTCACCACAACGCTGCAGTTATATTCTGGGTGGTATTATATTCCTTTTGGTTTTAGGTCTAAGAAAGGAGGCAGTTTCAGTTAAGGTTTTGCTTTCTCCCCAACTTGAATTTCTTTGTACTGTTGTACCAAAATGATTCTCTTTAATGTAAGGAAACACAAAATGGGTCACTGATGGGTGTGATGGAACATTGTTCAGAGAGATTTTATTCATCTGAATGAATAGGAGAGGTTTTAACCTCTTCAGGCAAAGAGCAGTACAGGATGCTGACCATTTACAAACCATTTTGGGGGCGGCTGTGGCTCAGGAGGTAGAGCGGGTTAGCCGTTAATCGGAAGGTCGGCGGTTCAATCCTGGCTCCCCCTGGTTGCAAGTCGAAGTGTCCTTGGGCAAGATACTGAACCCCGAATTGCCCCTGGCGGCTATTCCGCCAGTGTATGAGTGAGTGTGAATGTTAGTTTCCGTTTGAGCACTTAGGCTCAGTGTATGAATGTGTGTGACTGGTGAATGCAGATGTAGTGTAAAAGCGCTTTGAGTGGTCGAAAAGACTAGAAAGGCGCTATACAAGTACGGAGCATTTACATTTACATTTACAAACAAGGCACAGTTTAGCAGCTTCACAGGAAAAAGAGGAAACGTGTCCAGACCCTACTCTGCATGTTTTCTATTAAGGCAATGTTAATTTTTAACTCAGTTGAAGGCAAAGCAATCAAATGGCTAATCAGAACAATGATTCCTCTGAAAAACATTAGATCTGCACAGACATTCTGCTGTTAAACTTTTTTAAGCACTTTAAAGAATTTTAGGGTAGGTGCTTGGGAGCCTGCCTGCTGATTGGGAGATGCGGCTGTGGCTCAGGAGGTAGAGCGGGTTGGCTGCGGGTGGGCAAGATACTGAACCCTTGCCCCTGGCGGCTATTCCGCCAGTGTATGAGTGAGTGTGAATGTTAGTTTCCGTTTGAGCACTTAGGCTCAGTGTATGAATGTGTGTGACTGGTGAATGCAGATGTAGTGTAAAAGCGCTTTGAGGGGTCGAAAAGACTAGAAAGGCGCTATACAAGTACGGAGCATTTACATTTACATTACTTACTTGCCCAGCAGGTTGATGTTCTGTGATATTGCTCCGTTCTCGTTCAGTATGGAGTCCATCATCTTGACGGGGTCCTCCAGGCTCAGGCCTGAGGGTTTATTGATCTGCAGGGCGCTGCTGGTTGGTCCGCTGCTATCTAAAGCGCTCCTCTGGCTTTGGCCTGTTGTTGCGGACACACCAGCCTCTGTTTGTCTGATGTCACCTGTGCACATGGTGCTCACCTCCGTCTCTGCTGGCAGCACCGCACTGCCGCCCACCTCTACTTCCACAATTTCTATGTCACTGAGGGATGACATTTTCAAAAGATTTAATTTAAATAAATGTCTGTTAAGTCACTATCTATCACTAAATTAGTTATATGAAGTTGATGCTAATGCAGAGTGAACATTTCCTGCTGCAGCTTCACATTTAAAGCATTTATCTGGCAAAACATGAATAGACTTTATGAAGTAGGCACAGGGAAATGCACTGTGTTTGTTAGGGAGATTAGCACTGACCGCTACCGTTTGCCAGTTTAAAATACTGCAGGGAGTAATGGAGAGTCAGAAGCTGTAGACTGAACACCATGTTAACCAGCACTGTGCCTGCTGTCGGCACACTCAGGCCGTGTGCAGCAGTGTGATTTTACCCAATGGAAGAAGGCCAAATACTACCCAACATATTTCCTGAAACCACAATCGGTAGTAGAGCCCGACTGATATGGGTTTTTGGGATGCCGATATTAAAGTGAAAAAAAGCCGATATTAGGATTTCGAAAATAATTTGGATAGTAGACCCCTTTCCTGTATAAACATTTAAAATGGGCCGATATTGAATGCTGTTCTGGATGTGGGCTATAATACCTGCCGTGGCACCTGCCTCTGTTTATTATGGTATTTCCAGTGGCAGCTTGAGATGCCAAAGATTTTCCCTGAGATGCCACGGGACCTCCCGCTGTTTGTGTAAGTTAGGTTGCCACTGATTTACTGTGAGGTGCCCCATTATGGCACACATTTGACATCTGAAACATGTATTCAACATATACAGTGGTGCAGTGGTGCAGTGGTGGAAAGTTTGTGAACCCTTTAGATCAGGGGTATTCAATTAGAATTCAAAGAGGTCCAGTTAGAGAAAATTTCCTGAAGTCTGGAACTGGTCTGGAAGATCAAAACGACTAACTTGCGTTATCATCCAGTACCATAACCTATAGTTGTATCAACATATGTTTTTAGTCAACAACTGACTGTCAAGTTTTCACATCAAACTGAAGGGGTAATAAATAATAACTACTCTAAAGAAAAAGTGTAGTTTGAAGTGATGAAGTGCAGTCTTATGACAAATGAGCAGCTGTAATGCCTCCTCTTCTCTTTCACTCCCTCTTACAGAGCTACCACTTCCCTACTTTCTCTTGTTCAGTGAGCTCTAGTTTGTCCTGCCAGCTAGCATTGGAGATCTAAGAGATATTCTGGTTCTGAACTGCTCGTGGGAGGAATGTACATGTAAGAATCTGTACATTCTTGATTAAAAGCCATGTGAAATCTCTTTCCCCTTTCGTCTCCTCAATTCGTGTGAGTTTCCAAAACGTCTCTGGTGAATCTCACGGACTCGACTCGCAAGCATCAGAATGCACAGATTTGATTGGCTGAGCAGCATCACATGAGACGATTGAAGCACATGCGATTGGTCTGTGAGTTTCCTGTTCCGCTAAACCAGTACAGTAAATGCAAGAAAAGCTGCGCGGGTTAAAATAGAAACGCTCTGTCTCGTCTCAATAATAAATCGGCTGCGGTCTGCCTATTAGTGACCTCTGCTTTAGAATTGTCTGTATTTCTGCAGACATATGACCTAAAACAGGGGTATTCAATTAGATTTCAAAGAGGTCTAGTTAGAGAAAATTTCCTGAAGCAAAGGTCCGGAACATCAAAACGACAAACTTGCATCATTCAGTACTATAACCTATAGTTGTATCAACACATGTTTTTAGTCAACAACGGACTGTCAAATCAAATAATATTTCAGTCAGTTTTCACATCAAACTGGAGGGATAATAAATAACTATTCAAATACTAAATTCTAAATTTAAGTAAACTAAAGTGCCTAATTTTTAGACAAAATGTAATAAAAAGTGTAGCTTGAAGTGATGAAGTGTAGTCTTAACCAATTTTATAATAAACACTCAACACATCATAACAAATGAACAGCTGTAATGCCTCCTCTTCTCTTTCATTTCTTCTTACAGAGCTACCACTTTCCTACTTTCTGTTGTTCAGTGAGAAACGTGAGCTCCAGCTAGCATGTTGGAGATCTATGAGATATTCTGGTTTTGAACTGCCCGTGGGAGGAATGTACATGTAAAAATCTGTACATTCTTGATTAAAAGTCATGTGAAATCTCTTTTATCTTTCGTCTCCTCAATTCGGGTGTGTTTCCAAAACGTCTCTGGTGAATCTCGCGGACTCGACTCGCAAGCATCGGTATGCACAGATTGGATTGGCTGAGCAGCGTCACATGAGACGATTGGAGCACATGCGATTGGTCTGTGAGTTTCCTGGTCCTCTAAACCAGTACAGTAAATGCTAGAAAAGCTGCGCGGGTTCAAATAGAAACGCTCCGTCACGAGGTAGTAAGTCTCAATAATAAATGGGCTGTAGGTCGGCGGTCCGGAGAGGACGGCGGCTGGGTCCAGATCCGGACCGCGGTCCGCCTATTAGTGACCTCTGACCTAAAACATACTCAGATTTCAGTAAGTAATAGACAAAAATACTATACTTGTTTTAAAAGTATGTGAACTTTTGCTTTCAGGATCTCAGAAAAATAGTTGTTGATGCTTACCAGGCTGGAAAAGGTTACAAAACCATTTCTGAAGAGTCTGGTCTCCTCCAATCCGCAGTCAGACAGACTATGTACAAATGGAGGAATTGAAGATCACGGGGGAACCTAGGCTTACTAGGCAACAAAATGCCTCTCTAACAATAGCCATGTTTCCATCCAATTGTCATGCGAATTTTAAGCGTACTTTTGAAATGTCACAAAAAAGAATAACAAAAGATTGCGAAATATGTGTGTATCAGCTGGTTTGGAGCAAATAAACCACGCTACAGCAAGCGTCGTTATGTCAGTAGTTAACGTTACACATGGCTGTATAAATAAATAAATAAACAAGATATCTGGGTTCCAAACCAGAGACAAAACCAGTCACATGAACCTGATGACAATTGATCTTAGAAAAGTGGAGAGAGGTCCTCAGAAATGTGTTTCAAGCGGGCAAACTGCTACCAGCCATGTCTCCCCACGTAATGGGAATATCTGGTGTTATGCGAGTTTTGCATGCCTCCAGACAATTGCATGCACCTCCAAATAATGCTTTTAAATGCTATAATATCCTTTGTGGGGTTCATCAATGGGGATAAATGATTCTAAGTATATAGCCTATTCTATGAACCTTTAGAGTCGTTAATATTTTATTACAATATTTTGAGGATGGATGAGACCAAAACTTTCGGTTTAAATGAAAAGTTATGTTCAGCATATTCAACATTCCAGCATAATAACATGTTGATGGTGGTAGTGTCATGATCTGGGCCTGTTGTGTTGCATCTGGGCCAGACATTGTTGATGGAACAATAAATTCTGAATTTTAATAGCAAATTCTTAATGAAAGGTTCAGGACATCTGTCCATGTACTGAATAAGAGAACGTGGGTCATGCAGCAAGACAACTACCCTAAGCACACAAGTTGTTTAAGAAGAATAATGTGAAAATGATAGAAGGGTGAGGAAGTGAGCAGCTCATGTGAGGAAACCCACCAACATCCAAGAGTTGAAGCTGTTCTGTACAGAGGAATGAGCTAAAATTCCTCCAAGTCGATGAGCAGGATTGTTCAACTGTTACTGGAATGTTTAGTTGCAGTTATTGCTGCACACCAGGTACTATGAGCAAAGGATCACATGCTTTTACCAATCGCAGATATGCAACATTTGATAATTCTCAATGAATAAATGACCACAGATAATTTGTTTTATTTGTGGAATTTAGTTCTGTTGATCTACTTTGTGTGAAAATCCGAGTATGTTTAAGAATAGGTTATATTTGTACAGAAATATAGAAAATTCTAAAAGGTTCAGAAATTTCAAGCACCACCATATAGCATATTTCTAATGGCAATGGCCATAATATTATGAATTAACACAAGCTATGGCTGCAGAACATTAACCGTGAGGTCGTACGGTAAGAACAGGTTCCCAAGAGCAGTAGGCATGTAGAAAGTCCAAAGTCCAAAAACACAATTAAATTATAAAAGAACAGGCTGTCAACGCTGTCTTCTCGGGACGTCAGTCAGGTCTGTGAGGCCATATTTTCAATGTTCTGGCTGATATTGTACAACAGTATGCTTAAATCTTTTCATTTCAAGCAAAAACTATTAAAGTTAAAAAGAAAAAAAAAATTCCACAGCATGTGGCCTCCTTAATTTCTTATTGTGTCCCTCAAATTATTGACCACATACTCCACCGATGTTATTGAAAGACTGAAAGCTTCCTCTTTGCAAATGCTGATCACCCAGTGTTCACCTGATCATCAGTCAGGGGCACAGTGCTGGCTTTGTATGTGCGGGCATACTTGCTGAGGGCCATCAGGTCTTATTGCTGGCAGCTTTTCTGCTAACTTCAACTTTTTCAAGGTTTTCCTCATCTACGTGTTTTCTGAAAAATATATACACACATAAATACCCATTTGTTTTTACTCATAGAAGGAGCAGCTGCTCTCATAAAATAAAATAAATAATAAAATAGCAGGCTTAAAACAGCTTATTCGTGAAAGCTTTTCCTCTGTGAAAGCATAAATGTTGTAAACACATTTTTATAACTGTTTAACACTAATCCATGGAGGGAGGAACTGCTCAGGCACATTTGTGCACTAAAATGTTACCAAAATGTTTGTGGGATTACAGAGAACAACATTAGGATGCCAATGACAATGGTGAACAATTGGGTTTGGTGAAAGGAAACAAAAATCAATATCAGCCAGAACATTATATATGTAATATGGCCTCACAGACCTGACGCCCCGAGAAGACATTCTCAGCGTTGACAGCCTGTTTTTTTAAATAATTTAATTATGTGTTGCGTCACTTTGTGTTGAGTGGTGGGGATATCCGGGCTCAGATAAGGGGTGTGACAATGCACAATATTGGGTTCAAGAGAACAGGACGAGAAGTTATTTTAACGCTATTTTAAATGAATCTTCAATGCTGAAATATCTGATGTGACATTTTGTGCATTAAACACTTAAATTCCTGCATTCTG